TTTGATTTGAAGTGACTACTAATCAAATCTATCACTCATCCTACCTACCAATTAATAGATACAATATTTTTATTGTACATATGTATATATTTTCTTAACAAAAAAAAAAAAAAGAACTAAGTTTAAACAAATATGATAATCRATGATCGATCTACAGGGATACAAAAACGTTTTCCGGTTTTATTCGCGAGCTCATATGCTTGTAAATGTCATAACTGTATTTTACCGTTCATCATCTATCTACAATTTTAAAAGCACCCAAAAATGATGTCCATTATGAATTGGTGTAGGTAAAAGTCTACATAGCTAAATAGACAATTTTTAGAATTTGTTTATACCTCATAAAAGTGGTATGTACCTTTTATATTATCTTTATGAATTCTTATTTATAACTGAAAAAATGAGTCAACTTATAGGTATCAATAGCGTTCATACAATAATAAATTATATTTTTTCTACTTACTATAGATAAAAGAATATCAAAATATTTACAYTTTGAAAGTGTAATATTGTCTAWAAATAAAGGAAGAAAGTAGGTAACTGCTCTATTATAAGAGCCCTATCAAGTAGCCCTTGTTATTGAGTATSTCACTGTAATGTAGGCATGTCAATTTGAATTCAATAATAAATCATTGCATATACGTAAAACAATGATGTGAAAAAGACAGACTGTCATCTTAAATTACTCTGTATAGTTTAGTATATAAYATAGTTTTCATTTAGTTTTAATAGRTTTTTCAAATTATGAAAATAATATGTCATTTAGGTACCTGCATTGAAAGGTAAAATTAGAAACTGAAAGTTCAATACTAAAAGAATCATCATCAACAACATAATAATATTATATAATATTATACTTAACGATTGCACGATTAAAAACACTAATGTACTCTAGATTCTTTTCGTGTTTTCGAGTATTCGATTACGAAGACTGATTCTCTCAGTGACGCGTAACAGCAAAAAAGGATAATGTATTAATGTCAGAAGTAGGTAGGTACTGAACAGTAAACGATAGTAACAGATAATAATAAAAGTGTTTGCGCTTTGCGATGGGTATACAAATCTGTTATTGATATAAWTCCGTAKTAGGTATACTTTAATTGTTTATCCATTATCGCAATGAATTTTAACAGGAAATCAATTCTTCTATTCATCAATCGAACGTGTCCGTTAAAGTTTTACATATAGCTTAAAGGTATCAATATAGTATGTATATTATATTTTATTAAAATTGTTTTCAATGGTATTCTTCGATGGTCTGGGGTTGTTTCACTATATCCCTGTAATGGAGAAGTCAAATTAAGTGTAAATTCTGCATTTTGGGATTTTGAAATAGGTACCTATATAGTTTCTTGTCGGCTGTTTTGTCCAAAACCCAACGAATATTTGCAATGATATAATTTTAGGCGAGAGCCTAGAGTATACATTTATTTAGTAAAATATCTGTGATTTTAATGGTGTCCAATTACGTTTACCATACGTTWTTATGATAGTTTATTAAAAAAAAACTATTTTATTTTTAAATTTTGCTACTCCAAAATAATCACTCTAGCTGACCAAAGCATATTGGGTATTTAAATATAATTTATAAGTAAGTAATATGTAATTTTCAATCAGTTTTAAAACTATTATCTAAAATTCGCATTTGGATCTATTGAAATTATTGTTGTCTAGGTATTGATAATATTATTATGTTAGATCAGTTTGATCTAATTGTCGAAGCCCACAATTTTTATTCAGCCCACCCGAATACATAAAAAACTCGTATTTTCATAATTTAAAAATTATCTGTGGTAATCTAGAATATTTCCAAGTCAGTAGGTACAAATTGAACAAACTTTACAAAGAACATAAATGAACAGTCAATTTCTAAAATAATATATAATAAATACCTAGGTACCTTTAAAAGTTCATTGATATAATACACAAATAAAATCCCTAATAATATGATAATTGCTATTATTAAAGTTATGTTTACGGATTTATAAAAGGTTACAACATACAAGCAAGTAATGTCAATTCGGACAACATTTAAATGAACTAGGTTCTTTTTTACCTTTTATTTTCAGATTATTTTATTAAATCTAGTTTTTTATTTATCATGCCTTATTATTTTAAGTATAAACATATTAKGTATTTGAGTATTTAAGTTGGTATTTTGTTGTATGTGGCACGTGCCAATTAATGATAATAGATAAATATTACTTCTTTTGGCTAAATGTTTAAATTGCGTAATTTTAGGCCAACGAAGCAAATGAGCTGAGGCAGCACTTTGTAAAATAATATTTAAGGACGTAAGCACCACAGTAGAGGGACAGTGCGGGTTTCGAGTGAGAGACGAAATATGTTTGTAAGCGATTCATAGAGACCCGTATTTTTCTGTGTTTGTTTTATGTATAATAAAGTTATTCAAAATAGTATTAATTGTTCATCGATTATTTTGTGTACCATCGAGAGATAGGTATACTACAATTTATAAAGTTAAAATATCTAAGAATTAATATATTTTCAACTTTTTTCTTTCTGTTTTACTTAAATGGTATATAATTTACATAATTATAATTGTTTCTTTAAAAGAGTAAAATATAAATGGTATTATATATTTGTCTCTCTCCGGTCCGTATTAGAAATTTATCTATGGGAGGAAAGAGTATAATCACAGCAATTCAGTATAATAATGCTGATCATAATAAATTATTAAAGATTAATTAATGTGCAATATCCAAGATATTTATTATTTTTAACGAATATACGAATGAATAAGAGAACAAGTACTTTAATTAAATGGTTAAGCCACATCGTATCGTTATTAATTTATTATTTCATTATAGCAACGTTAAAAACAAATTAATAGTGGATAATTTAGTTATATTATATTTTGACTAACATAATCTTGTTTGAGTTCAACAAATTAAAATTAAAGTTATAAAAATAGTATGTTTGACTAAGAAATTGAATCGTTTATTTATTTAGTATTTTTTTCTTCGTATTATTGTTGCTTAAAGACTGAAATTATTGGTATATACCTAGGCACTGTAATAGTGAAAGGGAGGTAACTTATATATTTATAAAACAATTATACTATTGTTACCTACTCGTACGATATCTTTAGAAAGTTTAAGGTCATTTTGTATAAATCTACTAAAGATACTGCACGTAGTCATACACTTATAAATATAGGTAAATATAGATGTACCTATAAGACAAATCAATGAAGTGAATATTGAGTGGAATAACATAGGTGGGATTTTATATTGATAACATAAAGATTTTATTTCCTTTGATTATGAAGGTTATAATCATATATTTGAAAGTTTATTTTATGTATCACTTTTATGGGACAAGTGACAATAATTAATAAGTTATCTAATATAGCACATAATAAACTTCGTAAAATATGTTTTTGTCTTAATGCATTTCTACCAATTAGTCACATAATTATTGCAATTCATATTATACAATAAAATAACGCATTATGTCAAGTAAAATGCAAGACTATTTATTATAATATAACAATATAAGCCTATAAGATATTATTTTATAATTTAAACTGTTTATATATATATATATTATATATATCCATTGTGTAGATATTATAATATAATATTTATCCATTGAATTTTTATTGAAATAGAAGACGTTGTTTATTTGACCCGTTTTTAAGACAAATCAATAGATAAATACATTTATTTTGGAACTTTAAAAATTAAACTATTTTAAAATACATAACATTCAAATCGATTAAATTTGTAAATTGTCTGCATAAGAATTTAATGAACGGCTTTAACAAAATATTTAAATAATAACCACAAATATAATGCAATAATTAATGCTCTCATTCATATACATTAAAAKAATA